TCATCTCAACCAATGCTTACTTACATGCGCATGATGGTATCATAGTATTTATCTGGCCCAATTTACCTCAATGTCCTTTACAATCTCTACCTCCGTTCGTTCATTTTAATACTTCTTATTTCTTTACGGTTGAGGGTTAACAATTTTAAAGTTAGAGGTTTTCCACTCTTTCTATACTGGCTAATGAAACATGGTTGATGATGAACATGAGGTGACTATAGTTGGAAAATTGATGTTCAGGTGATTCTGGTATACTAGCTGCCCAAATACAAATAAACGCCCGCCAAGAACGCAGGAACGTGTAATTCGCCGTAAAATTTGACTTTGGATCAGTTGTGAGCCATTTAATGTACTTCGCGCCCAAAAATACTTTGAATTTTGTGCAGAATCATGTATTTTAATATTCCATATTTTAATAATTAATTTCAGTTTTGGGCAACCAATAGAATAAAATTTTGTTTACCGAAATTTGGGCCACAAAATCTGCTTCAGGCAAACCATGTGCGATATTAAACCAAAGCAAAGGAGACACAATAACGCAAAAGCGTTCATAACGACCTAGCTTGAAAAGGCAGTGTTGGCAGCAGTAATTGATGGCCTTGAATTTAACAACACGTCTTTCAGGCAGATCTTCATTGGCATCGAAATTAGACGTTCGTTCGACAGAGAGCTCGACATATTCTTCGTTTTCTAGTCCAAGAAATTTTGAATATGCATATGGAACAAATACGGAATTATCTAAGTCAAGGTTGACGTATTTGATGCATTCGCAGAAAGGATCGAAGGCTTTGACGTTCATCGTTGAGATACAACGCCGCCAAACCTTTTTGTACAAATCAGCAGTTAGAAATTGACTGAGGAACAAAACAGTTGACATGGCCTGGTTCAAGTCATGAAACGTTCGTGACGTGTGACAGCTTTGCCGTGAAGAGGGTTTTTCCTCAAAATCCGCAACTGTTACTTCGACCTCGGTAGACAAGGTCAATATTCCTTCTTTGGCCGGGACGCACTGACTGACCCATGCTTGTTCATAGTAGTTGTTCGTCCAGAGCAGACAGTCGAGCTCTCGCACAAGTTTCAAACCTGTTTGCCTCAGTTCTTTTTCGAGGTCGGCTGCGATCATCGAGGCTACGAGTTCGCTGCTCGTCGTTATGTGAACTTTACTGAGCACGACGTGATTTTGCACTTTCGACATCGTGCACAACGACGGTAAGGCGATGTGGTAGTGAGTGACGAACTCTCTGCTGACGCACAACCGGCACGTGTAACAATCGCTCAACGATTCAAACCTTGACGGTACCGCGAAGCGAACCACCGCCATAAAGTCTTTGTGGTATCCGCAGCACTGCGTTTCGAAGTCCAGGCTGTAGATCGCCGGCTGGCCGAGATTCTGCCAAGAAACATGCCCTTCTTGTCCAACCACAGCGGTCAACAGGTGAAGTCGAGTTGCTGGCCATTGTTCCAAACTCTGAACTGGAAGTGTCAGCATCAGGCAAAGTTGCCATCAAGCTCTGAAGAATGAAACACTTAAACTTCAGGCCTTCGAAACCGTGGACACCGCATAGAAAACTGTAGATCTCGGCGTAGACAAAGTCAACACACTTCACGGTGATATCTTCACTATGTTTATCAGCGCTGTTCGGCCGAAATACGGCAAACTCTGTTGACCATTGAACGATCAACATTGGAATATCATCTCCCTGGCTGTACCAGAAAAGAAATACGAACAATCTAAAAATTTCGTTGAACATGAAGATGATTTCGTGATGCTTGATTCAAGCGAAGAATTAGTATGGCATTCATTTAGCACTTTTTCTTTGCCTACATAAAATTCATACACATGGGACAAATTTTGGCCTATAACTTTTTCGCATACAAAGCATTAATAGCCACTATACATAGTTGTTTGAATGATTCATGATTTGGGGCATGGCGTTTCACTGCACAGACCGCAGCATCGTCAGGGCTGGGGCTGGACTGAGTACAATTTGTCTGCTTGAAGGAATTTATGTCCAACAGGCAAACGATGCCAATTTTCCTATTGGCTCAGCACACATAGCCACAGTTGATAAACTGTCCGAACAATATATAATGTTCACATCAAAATAAATCGGATCTTTGTCACCTTGACCGGATTTTGCTTATCGATTTTGTGATTGTGCCCCAGCTCTTACTGATAACCACAGAAGATGTGTATTCGTTGCACATCCAGTGTACGCAAGGACTCGCTTATCAGCAGACCTAATTTATATTGGTCCTTGCCCATGGTACTCACGTGTTGGGCAAAGCCAGAAATGCCAGCCAGTCCAAGGCGGACGGAAGCAAGGTGCACTTTTATACGGATATTCAATTTCCGGTTGGTCTTTCCAGTATACACCTTGTGGCAGTCTGTGCACTGAACTTCATAGACAACATTTAACATGTATACTAAAAACAAAATGTTGCACAATGTTCTGCCAGTCTTATAGTAGACTGTAAACCCCACGTGATTAAGGTACCTCATTATACCTTGAGATACTTGGGGTATGAACTGTAAAATTACCATTGGTCCATATGAACTGCCCAACTTTAACTTAGAGCTGGGCTTCAGAAGTTCTTCGTTGAGGAAGTAGAAGGCGCTCTACGCGGTGTGCCGACCACGGAATCCTTCATTTTTTTGGGTGATTTCAATGCGCATCTCCGAGCAAGAGCTGAAAAGCAAAAACACGTGATTGGTAGGAACGGCCAGAGCAATCTCAGCAATAACGGCATGGATTTGTTACGGTTGCTTTGTGCAAACAACTAATTGTTTCCGACGAGGAGGTTCTTTAAGCATTGAAACCTCTATCAGTATACCTTGTATGAGGGAGCTTCTGCACAAACTCGATGATCGATTTGATAATATTATCGTCTGACTTACGATGCTCTGTAAAGAGTGCTCGCGCCAAAAGAAGCACAGGGATGTCAGTCAATCTTCACACTGATCATGGCACATAAAGCAGTGCGAGATGAAATACCAAACGAAATTCTGGCGGAAGAAACAATCAACCAATCAAATGGGAAACACTGTTTCCTGCAAATACGAGTTGCCAACAAATTCGTGCGACGACTTGGTAATTTTACTTCTCGGACATTATTATTACTGACAGTTTAAAATAACCAATTGTACGATTTATCGTTTTGTTAACGAACTTAAAACAGCGTATAATAAGCCTTTCTTAATTCTATCGCATCATGAAAATCTTAATGAAAGATTACAAAGACTACTTGAGACTAAACACAATATTAATGTAATATATAAAAGCTCCGACAAACATAGTACTTTATTAAGCAATTTTGATAATAACCCTCTTTAGGTTGGACATATAAGGTACGTGCGACTGCGGGAAACATCACATAAGAGAAACCGGAAAAAATACCTTACCCAAAGAGCAAATGATGGCCATCTGTCAAACTGGAGAAAATGTATGACCGCAGACGAACACAAATGTCATGCTGAATAAAGTACCGAGGCAAAAACCAACCGTACCGCCAACAAAATCAATGAACAATGTGATAAGCCCTCGGAGGTCACGCAACACTCAGCAGATAAGGTCACGTCTCCCAATGGACAGATTTCGCGGTGATCGTTAAAGAAAGAAACTGGCCTAACACACGAATCAGAGGCCATTACCATTTGATCTTGTGAAAATGTCAACTTAGATGGAGGCTCTCCGCGAAATGGGACAAGCCTTATCAATCCCCTGACCCAAAAACTACCAACCAGCTGCATGGACCAAAAGCACACTATCGGTTCTAGATTCTACAACCAACTGCATGAACCAACCCTTCTTTATGTATTTATAAGTATTCGGTTATTTTGCATTGGAAAAAATGGCAAAAATCAGAAGTCTAAGGCGAACTGCCAGAGAGGTTTATCGACAAGACTGACGACAATGAATTTGCACGTTCATTCAATCATTTCATTTCGTTGGTTCATTCATGAATCACATGATTCATTTATTCTTTGGTTCAACAATCTTTCTTTCTTCTAATTGATTTCGTTCTTTCATATATTCGTTCGTTCCATAGTAATTTGTTTCGACTCACGCATCGTTCAGTGATTTCATTTATTTACTTTTCATATATTTACATTTGCATTGATTGTTCATTCACTGCCCAACATTACAACCAACGAATATCTGAAGGGGTCAGTTGCTAAAGCAGCAATTAACGGAGATGTTTTCAAGCAAACTCGGTTCTCAGCATTTGCATAGCAACAATGAAGATTCACACGCTCTATGTGTCAGGTGGGTTAGTGCAATATGATAATGTGGACCTTGTGACTTGCCTTCAAATATTAGCAGTCCGAATTCCACCAATCTACGAACATCGGAACATCACGCTGAATTCAGAAGCCAAAGTTTCAAGATATTCAATAAACGCGCTCAGAATTGCAAATCAAACGATATCAGGATGCCAGGTTCATGCTGACTACCTAATAGAATATTTAACCCAGTAATATCATTAATAGTTGGAGAGTGAGGTGTCTTTTTCCATACCTTAGAGGATAAGTTCAGTTTGATTTTAAGCAACTTTCAGTGCTGTAGCAAACGTAAAACTCATTTTCGCACGTCAGTCTATCTCAACGAGGTGTTTACGTGTGTTTCGGCTTCTTATAGAAGATATGATAAATCGCTGCTGAGTAAAGTAGATTGAAGAAGGCAAGAAAAGAAATGAAAATCATTTGCTTGGCCCGCAATATTTTATTAAAATTAATTCGGCCAGCACATTTTTAAAACCGTCAAAATTAAAAACTAAAATTTACCTATTTGAAATAAGGTTCATAACATTCCTAAAACAACAACAAATGAGCAACGAGACAAGCAACACATAAAATAAAATATTCCGGTTATTTTAAACGAGTACAACTTGGATCGCGACGCACACCAAAGGCTTTCGATTCTGGTCGGCAAGTTTACCTCTGACCTCTGCTCTTACCTATAAAACTATTCTGGGTAACGCAGGCAATGGATCATTCGTTATTCTATTAAAAGTGATATCCCACTGCTCACCTTCGGGTAAACCATGTCTACTTTTAACCGCTGAGTGATGGTCACAGTTGCATTTTTCTTTAGCGGACAGACGAGTCCAGAATTCACGCAACCGTTTCGGTTAGGCAAAGGCAACGCTATCTGGGACCCTCGATAAATAGCCACCATCGTGGCTGTCAACTTTGTAACTTCGATTTCTAAATGCAAAGTGCATTTCAGTGTTTCGCCAAGACATGATTCATTTTTGCTTCTTACCCGGAGTGAAGGTGATCTTCACGTCCACCGAGGTACCTCGCTTCAGGGAGCAGCAAGAGACGTTGTCACACGGACTCAGCTGCATGCTGACGATCTTCGCGTTCGTCGAACCTGAAGCACGACAAAATTCATCTTAAAAATCTTATATAGTGTCATAGAGAGCTGAGATCCCACCGCAATCTTTGTACTCGATTTTCTCGCAAACGATCCGGGCGATTAGCAGACACACGGAAGCGACAAGAATCAAACAACGCGCTTCCTGAATCATTTTCAACGACATGGTCAATGGACAGACGGAGTACTTCGCTAAGACCACCGCACCGGATGCACACAAAATCGCCACTGACCACTGAACACTTTTCTGATCATTCGACCAGTAAGCATTAGAATTTGCATAGTAAGTGTTGTGTGATAACCTAGTTAACGAGTGATTTACATAGAAATCATCCGAATACGAGTGGTGCACTAAAAAAGTAATAACTGTCTACCCCGCGGATAATAATAACAGTTTCTTGACATTTCCCATTATTCATCCAGTAGACTGTTTGAAACACCATGAAGCACATATTGTTTGAACCGTTTTTCAGGAGCAAAGTGGGCTGTGCAAAAATTCCGTCTAAATCGAATGATGTGAAGCATAATTGTAATAGGCTTGGGCTGCGTAATTTTTCACACTCGACAGTCCATGCTGTCGAACCATTTGTGTCTTTTGTAAGGATTATCTGAAAGGAAACAATGCAACTCATTCAACTGCTGTTGTGGATTCGAGTGAACAGTCAATATAGGGAGCCTCGACATAATTCGCATCTATAACAGTTCAAGTCGTAACTACGGTTTGAACCTGGAAATAAATGAAATTTAGATATGCGATATGAATCACATAACTGTCCAGTTTCATTTCAGGTATGAAAATGATTGATTATTTTCAAAAGATATGAAGAACTTGCTTATGTACAGGAAAGAAAGGCTCAGCTAACTTCACGTGAGAAGAAGATTACTTGTGGTGGCGCCTTTCAAGCAAAGTATCCCGAACTGGAAATTGGTTCGAAAAAATCTGCAACACGGCAGGGACTATAGTGACCAAAGCGAAATCTGATTCGTAAGAAAGATTCAGATATGCACTGGAATAGAATTTAGTTAAGGCAGACAATGTATTCTTGCTGACTGCCCGTCGCTACGGAAAGTTAAAGAAGAGCGGTTTATGAGCCATTAAGGAAAAGTCTGTGAGCCTTCTTGCCAAGGATGAGGACATGCATTAGCGGTGGAGTGAGTAATTTTAATATCTGCTTACCCTTGAGCAACCACAGGAATACGTACATTTATGTGTACATTGAGACGATAGTCAGAAGCAGCGAGGGCGTTGAGTTTAACAGCGTAGCAAATTTCAGTATGAGAAGGTTGCTGTTTGCTGGAAAACGTTTTGTGGTATTTTCTGAAACTGATCTCCAGCGATCTCTGTACAGGTTCAGAACCAGAACGACGAGTCCTGCATGCGCTTAAACGTATCCGAGACGAAGAGCCTAGTGTTTATCGTTCTCCTGCCCGTCGTTTACTTCAGGAAAACGGAGAAGCAGTAGAACAGATAGAGAGGTTCAAGTGCATCGAGATCGTGTTTATGATGACAGAAAATAGGAAAAAAAATTAACCGGCGGATTGGTAAAGCCAGTGATATTCTAAATGACCTATCCTGAACCCTTTGTGAATGAAGAAAGGAAAAATCTGATTACTAAGCACTCTGTGCTCAAGTTGATCTTCCCGACGCTCCCATACGGTTATGAATCCTGGAGCGTGGCTGCAAAGGTTTAATCCCTGGTACAAGTGGCTTAATTGGACTTTCTAAAAGGATTCCCTTGGCTGATGCATCTCGGCATGGTTCGAAGAACAAGCACCCCTGAGAGCTTCTGTGTTGCTTCACCAAATTTAGCAGTCATTACTCCAACGATGCTTTTAGAAAGAATTGCGAAAGAGCTATTTGACCAGCGACATGCCTGAAATCCAGAGACGGCGGCCAGGAACATCCTGGAGTATGTGTACCAAGAACTCTGTTCCAGAACGGGGTTAATTTTTGCCTCATCTCATACGCTAACACAGGATCGTAAATGGTTGACAAACCACCTGATGCATCTACATCGATGAGTCGAAAGGAAAAACGATTATTGAAACTGACTGACAGAAGCTGCAATCCACTGGGTCACAGGACCTCCTTCGTTTCCATACTGAGTTGTTAATCACTGTCTGTCCGCTGAATGTAAGTAGTGTGATTTTTGGAAGTTTGTTTTGTTCGTTATTTGAGCTCTCACAGACCCCCGACTCCCGCTCTCCCTCTATTATTTTCAATTATGTACCTGATTTTTGCGTTGCGTCCCTGCTAGCATGACAATCAATTTTTACGATAACTATCATAACGGTATTGCACCATTGGCGGGTAGATTCGGTCGCAAGATGGAGAAGGATGAGGAAGAGAATAACCGTTTTCAGAAGGCATTGGCTTACATAAGACATCTGCCATATTATGACGCAATTCGAAGCGAGGCGGATGAACAGCTGGAAGCCATAAAAGCTGGTTTGGGGCGCTCGCTCTTGTTGAGAGAAATTCGTCCTTCATTGGTGCACTGGACGTTCGAATTAGACAAGTACTGTTTTACTGTTTTCGTATCGTTTTTAGCCGCTAATCATTGACAAAAATTTCATACTTGTGCAGTAAATTAGCTGTAAACTGTACATGTACATAATTGTTGCTGTTTACGACTGAATATGAGTCAGGAAAGCACCAAAGTGTCCGATAACGCATCAGATTACCCATCAACTCTTAATATTCTGAGGTACTCTGATTGCTTGTTTCTGTCTTTCTGTTGAGAACTATTCTTCCTTCTGAAAATAATTTGTTTGAGGCAGTTTTTTGTTATATATTATTTTTCGTTAATTGAATCAAGTCGGATGAAAGTCTTTACTGCCAAAAGTCATTTCCATTGGTCTAATCATCGATGACGTCATCGTTTGGAT